CGTCTACAACCACACGTTTCACTGCTGTTAGCACCGGCGTTTTCCGAATAAACCTCGATTTTTTTTTGATGCTATCTCTTTGTTCGTACTAGTCCCGAAAGCGCCATACATGGCGTTTCTGCTCATCTTCATTACTTTCAAATTCCGACATGGTAAACGCTGTTATCATCGTTTTGACATTTTTTCTATGCTTCATTCATTCAATCATTTATTGCGTAGGATGTCCTATGCATTAATCATCACATTCTTTACTGATTCTTGCATTTTATCGAAAAAAAACCACTTTGATGCAATGTGTTTACGTTTCCTTTTTAGTAAAGTGGTTTATTTTCAGTTCACAAATGAATGGGAAACAAATAGATATCGATGAGCGCTATGAGAATCCAGCTCCCTATACTGAAGAGGTACTAGTTATATTTAGTTCCGACAATGTTGCGAAGTACTTTGTTCTGGCTGATTTAATCGATGTTTTTCTCACATTTGCTCTACCTTTTGAGGATGACGACGATTACTCAACAGATGATGAGATCCAGTATTGTGACTGCATCGCATCTGCACTGGCTCAATCTCTTCCGGGTATGCCAGGAAAGAAAGGTAGATTGATTAGCTATTTTTTACTTCACTGTTTTATCGTCTTGTTAATTTTCCTTTCTGCTACACCATGGTTATTGTTTTCCACGTTTTACGATGTTCTCCTTCCAACACTTTTATGGTTTTCCAGAAACATAGCTCGCGAAATTGTCTTTTGAATCTTAATGTTTCTGCGCTGAAAGGAAGAAGAATGCCATAACTTCTTGGAGAAACAGTAAAAAATTGACTGCCATCTCGAATATTGATTTTTAGTAGGTGATGAACATTCTACTTCTATGTGATGGTGTTTTTGTTAGTTTTGAAACCCCCCTAAGCCCCACTCTTCTGAGAAAATGAGCAGTGAATGACTGACGTATCGAAGCAGCTTATACAATCATGGTGGAAGAACGTTTGGAATGTGATGAGTGTTGCGACTGCAAATTACCACCCACCATGTTGCTTTTTCAGACGTGGAATTCAATCAGTTGTCAGTGGATGATGAAGCTTTTGAAGTTGAGCTAGCTAGCTGAGTTAGTCGGTAATTGCAAAATGAATTAGAATTGAGAAAAAGTTGGTCTGTAGGCGGCGTTGGTATGTCTTCTTCTGATTATCAACTCGGAATCTAATCTCAAAAATTCTTGAATTCTCCAATTGCAGCACGGCCAAGTTCTTGCCTAAAATCTGGTCCGCTGCTTCCGATCTAAGCGTAACAGCACCGTACTTTATGTATGCAGAAGAAAAAATTCAGAGTTGTTAATCACTTCTCCAGATGGGATTAGAGGAGTTAGAATGATTGCACAGAACTTACACATCATCTACACACTCATGACACGGCATTTTTGCTAAAAGTCTATACTTTTTATCTGCTGCTTGAATCATTCTGTCAACTGATGAATTCTGTATCAGTCATTTTTCGTCTGAAACTCGAGCTGGTTTCTCAAAAGTGCGTGCATGACTACGAGGGAAAGAGATTCTTGTTATTTTTTGATAAATGTGGAAGTTATGAGATGATAGTAAAGTATTTAAAGAAGCCATATTTAACCATCAAGAGTTTCTTGGGTTGTATCAATACAACATCTCGTCTAAGCATCATGAATTTTTGATGTTTGCATTGATTTTTTGGAAGTATACTTTGTAGGGAAACTGCTGCCCTTGAGATTTGTCATTCCCCTGTTTGTTAAGAATAAATGATTTAATGTTGCTGTTTTTAGGTATCATCCCATACGATGCTATCTTTGACACGCAAGCTCAAGCTCGTCGCCGTGGATACTGGATACCGGGTATCCCTGTAAACGCGAAAATTGTAAGCGTTGAAAGAAATACTAGAGATCGGCGAATCCATTTTATCAATACTCTATTGTAAGTTTTTG